AACCGTTATGACATAGTGTCATGTTGAGGCCGAGGGCCGTCTGATGTTGAGGCCGAGGGCCATTGTTGATTTTGAGACCGAGGGCTGTTCTGACGTTGAATCATGCCAAGGCCGAGGGCCATTGGTGATGTAGAATCGAATTGAGGCCGAGGGCCTTTCCTTGATAGTTCCGGGAGTCCTTCGGGTGTATGTTCCTTCTTTCAAGCATCGACCGAGGGGGTTGATTCCCCGCCTCGGCCGAAAGGGGGTCCAAGTGATCCGTCCGGGGGTTCATCTGTTAGTCCCCCGGCGCTGAGTCGTCCCTTGATTGTTCCAGGAGGTCGTATGTTAGTCCTCCTGATGTGTGTTCCTTCTTTCAGGCTTCGGCCGAGGGGGTTGCTTCTCCGCCTCGGCCGGAAGGGGTCCAAGTGATCCGTCCGGGGGTTCGTCTGTTAGTCCCCCAGCGCTGAACCGTCCCTTGACATTGGGGGGTCCCGTCGTCTATTTACGGCGCGGGCTAGGCTTGGTCGGTTTCCGACGACTGCCGTTTCACCCCCAAGTTTGGGGATTTTGTCACCTCAGCCATTCTTTCAGGCCTGTCGTCGTGCGTTGCGCGCCGGCGACGCGGCGAGCGTCCCGCTCCAAAAACGCGGGCCTTTTGCAGGCCCCTCATCTTTAGAAACCATCGGCCATACCTGGGCATTTGGCCTCGAAGGGGCCGATAAGATGTCTGGATTGTGTTGTAGTTTACTTAAATTCATAGAAATAAGCGGAATACAAGGGGTGCTTTGTTTGACAACGGCTTTGTTAAGATTCACCGCTCAAGGCCGAGGGCTCTAGGCCGAGGGGATGGTAATGTGCCTCGAGGTCGAGGGCCCAAGGCTGAGACTAACGCCGAAGGCGAGGAACATGATTAGCGGAGGTGGCGCTTCTTCGGCTGGGGCTCCTCGAACTCCTCGCCGTCGCTGAGCCTCCCGATTTCATGTTTCTTTGTTGTGATGTCCCCTTCTTCTTTATCGGTATTCTCCCCGGTGTTTTTCCTTGGGGCATTTTTGATGAATTGGTGGAGCTCACCCCGTTGAATTAAGAGCTCAATAACCTTCTTTAACGAGACACAATCGTCTGTATTGTGGGAGGTGCTTTTGTGGTAACGGCAATAAGTGCCGCCTTGGTGGATGGCGTAGATCTCCCTCGCCGACCGAGGGTCCTTGGGGAAAAGGTCCTGCTCTTCCGCATAGTTGAGGATAGTGCTCACCGGGTGCGTGAGGGGAGTCCTCGGCATGTCCAGCCGAGGGCGCCATTGGCGTTCGTTACGGCCCTGCTGGGTGTGGCTTCCATGGTCTCGGCCTCCGGCCGAGGGCGCATTTGGGGCCGGCGTGTTGTTTGTCTTCTTCGAGGGCTGGCCCTCGTTCTTCTTGAAGGAGTGGAGGTCGTCGGCGTCGGTGTATAGGCTCCCCCACTGGAGTGCTCTGAGGTATGATCTTGGGGGGTCGGTGATGAGGCTCCGTACGTAGGGGCTGCTGCGGAGAACCCCCTAGAAGAGGACGAGGAGGGTACGCTCGTCGGCGCCCTCGACCTCGTCTGTCTCCTTCATCCACCGGTCAATGAAGGACCGAAGTGTTTCGTCAGGCTGTTGCTTGACGGAGAGGAGCTGGGAGAAGTGCTTTCTCGCGCGCTTCCTTCCGGCAAAATGGGTGAGGAAGCCTTGGGCAAGATCTTGCCAAGAGTCAATGCTGCCCTCGGGCAATCGGTTGAACCATTCGTATGCTGGTCCCTCCAAGGTGGAAAGGAACCAACGACATAAGTATTCATCTGATGCCCCCATCATCATCATGTTGTTTTGATACCTGTTGTAGTGCTCCTGGGGGTCAGTTTTTCCTTCATAGGGCTTGATGAGTTGCCCTCGGTACTTTTCCAGGATTTGGGCCGCCAATACCCTTGGGGTAAATGGCGTCCTAGTTCGGAGTTGGATGACGGGTTCCCCGGAGCCTTCGGCAAATTTCCTTTGTATCTCCTCCATTTTGGCCAACATGGCCTCATACTTGAGGTCTGTATGAGGGGCAGAGGTGGTGGCGTGTGCTTTGGTGGCCTCCATCTCGTCAAGCCGACGCTGGAGGGCCGCGATGATTTCGTCCCGGGGGTCCTTCGGGAGGGCCTCCGCCCCCTGCGAATGGACACGAGCCGAGTGGGCCTGGTTGATTTGGTGGCGGGCGTCGTTGGCATGGAGAGGTGCCTTGCCTTTGTCCTGAGGGGGACGCCTTTCATTGGCCCTGGAGACGGATCCGCCACTTTCCTGAGGCCTCAGGAACACCTCCCCCCCGAGGCGGTCTTGGACCCCTCGGCGGTCTTGCGCCCCTCTGAGTCTCTCGAGGGCGGAGGTCCGGAGTTGTTCTTTGTTTACGTTGTGGCGGTCCCTGGACTGGACTTCCTGGGAGGCCGTATTCTGGGCCACGACCCCCTCGGAGTTCCCAATCCGGGGGACCGGGTTCCCGAGGGGGTGTGGATGAGGGGGAGGCATAATATTCTCCCCAACCTGAGGCTGGTGGGGAACCAAGGTGCCGAAGGCACACGGGTTCTGAGTGAGCGTCTGGATGAAGGCGGAGAGCGCCGATTGAACGTTGATGGTGATGACCGGGGGGCTAATTTGATTTTCGCTCCGGTCCTTCTTCTTAGCCTCGATGCCGAGGCGGGCATCAGGGGCATTTTCCTGAATCTGCTGGCGTAGGTCGACAGCCGTCTGGTCCATCCCGGTGATGACGCCGCCCCCGGGAGCCCTGTTGGAGGCTTCGGGGACGTCGACCTCGCCGAGGGCCAGGTTCCTGTCCTCTACATTCTTGGAGTTGGCACGAGTTGTTCTCACCATTGCGGATGGGTGTTTTTGTGTTTGGTCGAGGGGGAGGGTTTCTTACTTGATTGTTCGACCTCTCAACGAGAGCACTAAATGATGGATAGTGTACCCGAGGGGTAGCTTATCCGAGGGGTTATTGCGGAGAATAACTAGAGAGAAGTCAGAGCAAATAAGTAAGAGAGAGTGTATATTCGATATGTATTAAGCGTGGTTTACAATGGGGGAAAGAGGTGCTATTTATAGTAGTAATAAATGCTAGATAAGGATACGTGTCAGTTTTCTGGTGGTCGAGGGGTCACCTCGACCGGGGTGGCACTGGCACTCGCATGTGGCCGCATTAAATGCGGTGGTTGGATGTGACGTTTGTACTTGGTACGGTGATCCAGACGCATGTGAAGAGGATATTTTGTCGAGGTGGATGCCTTCGGCTGAAGGGTGCTGGGCCGAAGGCTCTTCTAACCGAGGGCTCCTACCTGCCGAGGGCTGCAGGTGCCGAAGGCTTGGTTTTCAAGCCTTGTTCTCCTGTGATGCCTCTTCTAACCGAGGGCTCCTACCTGCCGAAGGCTGCAGTTGCCGAAGGCTTGGTTTTCAAGCCTTGTTCTCCTGTGATGTTTCTGAGCTCGATTCCGTCACTGGTAGCCTTCGGCCATGGGGCCGAAGGCACCCCTTTGCGTATTGTGGGCTGCTTAGAGCTCCATTTTTCTGGGCTTGGCCCGTTTGGGCCTGTTGGGCCTGATTGTAGTAGAGGAAGTATGTGGGCCGGGGGTCCCTGGGCCATATACTCCTTCACATTTTGTTGCACCATGTTGCATTTTGTTGCACTATGTTGTACTTTGTTGCATTGTATTTTTTGTTATTTATTGTTGAGTTTTTTATTTATTTAGGTTCCAATTTATTTTTTCTACTTTGAAATAAAAACCACCACATACATATAAACACCTATAATAATAAATTTGGGTTTGTGAAACATAATAACATCAAGAAACACAAATAAACAATTATAAACAAAATTTACAGATTAATAAACAAAAACAAACACAAAGAAATCACATGCAACAAAAATTAAAATAAATGGCATGATGATAATATTACTTTTATAAATATTAGAAAAGGACATAAAAATTAAAAAAAAAATCGTTTTTTTGTAATTGTTTTACAATATTAACCATTTTAAGAATATTCTACATTTTATTTATTTTCATTTTCAAATTTATGTTTTTCATACTCCGTATCATTATTGTCTATAATACTTTAATTTTTACTCAATTTTAATACTTTTCCCGTATTATTTATTTTTTGCTGGAATTTTCATGCATCTTGTTTTCAATTTTTATATTTTTCCACTCTTTTAAAAACTTCTTATTATTTTAGTATGTTTTATATTTTAGTTTATAATCCGTATTTTTAATAATTCATACGATATTAGATTGTTTAGATTTACAAATTATTACTCTTTTTAGTTTTAACCATATTTATTTTAATACACACACACTACCTCTGTCCAAAATTGATTTGCAAATTTGATTTTTTTTGGTCAAACAGTTTCATTTTATTAATTGAATTAAGATGTCATTTTTTAATTATATTCTAATTTGGATTTTACAACTTTAAAGAGATTTTAATGTAACATCTGAATATGTAAATTTTAATTATTAAAAACTGAATTAATTATCAATAAGGAGGATTGACTTTTATTTTTAGTTGACCAAAAAATGTTGACTTTTCAAAACAATTTAGGACGAAGGGGTATATATTTTGAAGCTTACCATTTTCAAACACCAAATAAAGGACTTAAATTTTCCTATTTTCCTATTTTTATAAACCTTTGTATGCTTTTATGCCTATTGCCTTTTGATTTTTTTTTAATAATATTCGAAGTTTATAAGTTTTCAAGTTTTTATAATATTGAGATTTTTTTCATTTTATACCATGTTTACATAGAGAAAATCTTTTTTATAGTTGTCATTATTATTGCTTTTTAGTTTTCAATTGTGATAGTGTATAAAAGTTTAATACAGAGTACTTGGTGTTACAATTTATGAGTATAGACATGTAGCAATTACAAAGGTCTGCTATCTACGGAGTATTTGTTCGCGTATAATGTAGGTTTTAGGTTTAAAGTCTATAATTGAAAAGAAAAGCTTAAATAGTATATTTTTGAAAGCGCTTTTGAAAGTTGAAAAAAGTGATACTATTTTCACTTTTTAACCTATTTGTGATAAATTCGCATAATAAAACTCATAAAAGTTAATCCTGCTTAAGAACATGTGCATCAGTCTTGCAAATTTGCAATAATCTTTTACCCCTCTCACCCGCATCACAGCCTCACAGGTCTCTGGCTTCCTATCCGACGATTCACCATGCTTCCACATCCAATCCAGGTCTGGATCTTCATTATGCGCTGCTACACCCTCCCCCGATAACATCCTCAAACTAAACTTTGCATTATTTTAACTACCCTGGTATATTACGCAATTGATTTATGCTTTAGTTGTAAATGATTCTATTTTAGATCATGGTCAAAATTGTTAAACTGAAGAGCTACAGATCTTTTGCTAGCTCATTATTTTCAAAGATTCTTATGAATGACATTCTTATTTCCATGTTTCTGAGAATTATTCGCTTGGATATATCTATTCTTCGGTTTTGTGTTTTTATACATTTCCTTCATAAGAGATCGATTGAGCTGTTTAAGCTGATTCTTAAATTGTCTATTCTACTCCTTTGCATCTTTCCTGCCCTTTTCATTTTAGTTTCTAAGCCAATGTTTGAAAATTAAAAAGAAAAACTGCATCACAAATTAACCAATCACAATACTGGTGATAACTGATAACCGATACTACTTAATTGTAAAATCATGTATTATAAACCATAACTTAGCTAATTGACTTCAATGCCTAAAAGTTGTGATATATAAACCCCAATTATTTGCACCTAGTCATATTATGTCCTCAAAGTCGACCATTATAAACAATTTTTTTTAATTTGTCCCGCAGAATGCTAGTACTCACTGATTGCTGGTAGTCAACAGCAACACTCTGGGTCTCTGGCTGCACATGAGAAGTTAATAACCATTTGGTATTGCTCTTATTTCACTTATCAGTCTAATATCCAGATGTTCCATCACAACACTCTTATTTCAGTTTGGTGCCTCAATAGTTTGATAATTAAAATGGTGCATGGATTAGTTTTTTCGTTATTCTTAAATGGATGAAGTGAAACCAATTGACACTTCAACCTTCATTCTGAGGTACTCTTCCCTCTGTTCTAAAAGAAGAGTCTTGTTTCAAATTGTTTCTCACAAAATCATAGTTTTATATGGTCAAACAAAACTTTAAAAGGGAAAGAAGAATAAATATTGTTGTTGTCTTACTTCTCATTACATCATGACTCCAAATATTACAGATGCAAAGAAAATCAAAAGACATAAAACATATCAAAGGTCACCTTGGGATTAAGAGTCCGTTTGATAATACCTAAATTGGTTGGATTGGCTGATTCTGCTGATTTACGGAAAAAAAATTAAATTATATTTTATTACTAAAATAAAGAACAAATTATATGAAAAATAGCTAAAATAATCATCTACCGTAACTTCAGCCAATACAACCAAAAAAGTAACTCTAACCTTTTTCTTATTATTACACAATTCAGCGCGCGAAATCAAAAGTCACGTGTTTGGTAAAAAAGTTGGTTGATAAGCGTGATAAGCTGAAAAACCATGTCACCAAACGGGCTCTAAATTTTTCATGTAATGTGTGAAAATTGAGTTACCAGAAGTCAAATTCGACAATTTAGTTAAACCTATAAAACGAGAAAATACAATTAAGACTTCATCATGTTTAAGATGCGTAACTTGCCAAAATTGAATAGTTGTACTTTGACCTTATCACCATACATAACTCTTTTTGGGACACGGGAAGTATTTTTTTATTTAATTCATTTTAAGAGTACATTATAAATATTAAAAATTGTAACTCAGCCAAGTCAGTGACATTTTCCACAGATATGGCTACATCAGCCATTTTGTACCTGAATAAGCAGATGAAATTTTGTCTTTTTGCCAAAAAAAAATTATGCATCCCTTACACAGGAGTGCTCATTACAGTAATTTGCAATCTCTGTGTATAACAATGACTTGAAAATTTGCAGATGGATATGGATGCCAATGAGCAGCAGCCAAAGCAAGAGCGTCTGAGAACAAGATGGACACCATCTCTTGACAAGATCTTTGCAGAACTAGTTGTTGAGCAGATTCGGCTAGGAAACAGACCAAACAATGTCTTTGATAAGAAAACCTGGAACTATATCCGCAGTGAGTTTAATAGACAAACAAACCTCGATTTCAACAACAATCAGTTGAGGAAACACCTTGATGTACTCAGGACTCGTTACTACTCTTTCAAGTCATCTGCTTCTGGTCAACATGATTCATTAGCAGATTGCTTTGATGGTTTTGATCTTTGGGAAGACATAGGGGTACCCTTCTCTCCATTCCCCTCTCCCTCTCCTAAAGTGTTGTTTAACTCCATGCATCCTAAAGAAGAGTCGTATTTCAATAAAAGAAGCTAATTTTCATTGAATTTCATGTGGCTTTAAAAGAAATGCTCACAAAAAGCTAGTATTCTAAGGCTGTATTTGATAGCATTAATCAGCTTATTCTACTCGTGAACTGATTATTCAGAATAAGCAGCTTTTGTCTTATTTGTCTGAAATTTGTTTTACAAAACATTATTCCTTTTAGAAAATTCAGCACATTGTTGAGACAAATAATTCTTACCAAACAAGCATTATATTTAGTTTAACAAAGAAGTAAAGTTAAAGACATAAGTATGAGTGATCATTTAGGGTACCCCTCTCTCCATTCCCCTCTACCTCTCTTATAGTATTGTTTAACTTCATGCATCCTAAAGAAGAGTCGTATTTCAATAGAAGAAGTTCATTTTCATTGAAATTCATGTGGCTTTTCAAAAAACCAGAATGCTAGTATATCTCAAGGCTTATGCCCATGTTTTGTAAATGGCTGATCAGCCAAAAATTAGCTTCTTTGACCAATTTTAGCTGGTCGAAATGGTCCAACAGCTAAAAAGAATGTTTGGCAAATAACTTCTTTCTTTAGCTTCTTCATCCAAAACGCCGTTTTTCTGAATCGCTGCCCCTGCAGCATTTTGAAAGAGCGATTCTAACAATTAAATCCAAATGACCGTGTTGTCCATTTGCACACTCTCCCAAGTGCTAAATTATTACTAGTGTTAAGTTATTAAATGCAAATGGACTGTGAGCTAGCTGTCAATTGTGTAAACTTTTGAAGTGCTAAAATGGAGGGTGCGCTAGAGTTCGTATACCAAATTATTACGGAGTATTATGTTAGATTATTATTACTACCATACTTTAAAATTGAATATTTATCTGTACACTAAAGTATACTTTTTTTGGGACCAAGTATATTTCTATGTATATTATAAATAAACATAAAGAGATAATTAGTATGAATGATTTATACTCTGTTAGATGTAAGTAATATTATTTTTTATAAGCAATAGCTAAAAATAAAATAAAATAAAATACATGTGTCCTTATATGTCTTTTTACACGCAAACAGTTATTCTTAAATAGCTAATTTACCAAACATTTGCTGACAACGAGCTAACATAAGCAGCCCACTAAAACAGTTGACACAACCAGCTATTACCAATCAGCTGTCATAACCAGCTAATAGCTAACAGCTAACCGTTGATTGCCAAACAAGGCCTATATTTGGTAGCATTTATCAGCTTATTATAGTCTTGAACTGAACAATCAGAATCAGCAGATTTTGTCTTATTTGCCTGAAATTCATTTTACCAACAGTATTCCCTATTAGAAAATTCAGCACATTGTTCAGACTGCAAACCAATAATCCTTATGAATTAAGCACTATATTTGGTTTAACAAGGAAATTAATTTAAAAACATAAGTATGAGTGTAATTTGCCAACTATGTAGCACGGAAACATGATTGGAGTACCGTATTCATGTATCGGAAATGTTCACGTAATAGATACTTTAGGATACTCATACCGTACGTTGTGAGACGTATTTGATTTTTGTAAGCACTATAGTTTATGCTTATCATTTTTTAAAAAGTTAATGGAAAAAGGGAAAACAAAAAGCCTTATACATGTCTCTCACGAAGTCACGATCTAGTACTTTGTTGAAACATATGACTTTTGAGGGACTATCCCTTTTGAGGTTATCATTTTGTTATACCAGGTGTGCACTACTAACATGAAATCATCAATATGCATTCACACCATAATGTTGCCACTATGGTATTAATGTGATTTTACAAGGAATAGCTTACACCATGAAGTCTTTTTTATCATTTTGCTATCATTTCTTGCGTTATCTCATACATTGTTTGTATTACAGGGTCAACCGAAACAAGAAACGGGTAAGATCAAGGAATGTCCAATCTATGAGGAACTGTGTTTGATTTTTGAAGAGCCTGATGCCGATGGGAAATATGCGCAGTCAAGTCACTATGGAGAATTGGAAAAATCAGCAGCAGCAGTAGTAGATCATTCGTCTTTAGCAGAAAACCAAAACACATCACCTATGACTCCATTCCTTTTGACATACTTCCCTGGTTCACCGCCAAAGTCCATGGCTAAGACTGGAACTGAAAAGAAGAGAAAGCGCCCCCGTGAGGCAGTTCCAGATTCAGGTGACAATAGTCGGGACAGTGAGATGATTGACGTTATCTCGCAAACCTTGCAAGAGATGATAGCTTCATCAAAGGTGGGGTCAATTGGTGCCTCTCCCCAATCTGACAAAAGATTTAGTATAAGTAAGTGTGTTAAAGCGTTGGATGATATGGAAGGCATACACGACATGCATTACTATCCAGCTCTTGAGTTGTTTGAGGATCCAAATCTGAGAGAGGCGTTTCTCTCTCTAAGTGGCAGCATACGTCTGACTTGGTTGCAGGGAAAATTGACTGATTTTGCCTTGGGCTGACTGTTGAGCTACGACTCTACCGGACTGGTAAAAACCCTGATTGTAGTGGCAAATAGGATTGTAGAAGAAAAAAAATCAATTTTTGGTCCTATGAATGGTAGGTCATTATATTTATTTATCCAGAACTTATTTCTTTCCACTGTTGATGCACGACTATGATATTTTGCTCCAGTTGGTCCTCTTTGTCCGTCATTCTGGAGAAATCACAACCAGAGTTGTATTGAAACTGATCGGCTAAATGATAGAAAGCAGTCAAAGCACCATAAGTGACTAAAACTGTTGTTCTTCAGTTCTTGTACTAAAATGGAAAATGAAATTTATGGTTAAAAAATGGTAATGACCTAGTAGCTGTGGGACCAAAAAAGAATATTTTCTGAGGATTTTATAAGCCATGTCTTAACCTGTAGGCATTTTTTAAGTATATGGTTCATAGTGGTTCGATGTGCACATTAGAGCATTATTGCTATAGGCTCTAATGTGATGTTTTTGGAACTTATCTAGCAGGAATAATAAGCAGGGTAAGTGGTATTACCAAAACTATGTATGAAGATATAGTAGAATATAACCACTAGGATTATTTAGTTATGGGAAAGATCAATTATGTTTTTTTTCCTACTTTTGTGTTTCCTTTATTTTATGTCATTTGTGGTTTAATGTTATTTGGGCATGTTCAAGTTTATGAGAATTTCTTAATTGTTTTTATAATCTAATAAGTGATTAATAAACAATCACTTGTTTTGGGATGGAAGTATGAGGAACGAAAATTGTTGATGATTGAATAAACAATCAGTGCCCTTTACTACTACACCTTGCATGAGTTGCATCGTTTGTGTGAATACAGTACTACCTACATTTTCCCTATCTTTTTTCATTGATGACATTTGAGCAAGTTCATTCATTTGTGGAATCACTTCGCCTAGAACGTCTGTTACATACATCTAGAAGTGAAATGATTGAACACTTGAAATAGATAATCACGCTTTGTGTACACGGTATTGTACATTTGTACATGCCGATCAAACTGTTTGTGTACATACATTTTTTTTTGTCTGTGTGGAAATCGGTTTCTTCCGGTCAAAGTCAAATTGTCCGTACAATTTGAGCGGTGTGTACAATGGTGTGTACAAATTGCCATGTACAAAAAGCATTTTTGTAAAATAGAAGTGTCCCAACATACATTTTCAATATAATCACTTTTATCTCACCCCTAACAACCATAAGGATGTTTTTATATAGACTTATTTCGGTCCAAGATTAGAATAATTCAGATCAGATTTAAACAAATTATATTAGATCAGATTTTGACAGTTATAGAATACACAGAGATTATACATTTATACATTTACTAGATCAGTTCAGACCAAATTTAAATAGACTAGATAAAAAAAATTAGTCCAATTAGTCCAATTAAACGGTCCAAAAGGGAAACAAACCATCTAACTTTTCGAGAAAAGTTTATCTTAAAATCCATTTTAGATGTTGGGAAATTATTAAAAACAAGTTGAAAAGTGAAAATGACGGTCATTAACATTTTTCACATTTTAGTTTTTCAAAAATCAGACCCGCTAAATATTTTTTCCCAAAAATAAACCATGTAAATGAAGTATAGAAGTAATAGAACCAATCTGCTGGAATATGTACTCCAAGAATTATTCAACTCTTATTTTAAATGGAAAATATGTAAAGATTTAGTAAAGTATAGAAAAGATTATGCTAATTAGAAAAATAAAAAGTATTAAAATAAAACAAATTATAAAGTAAATAAATCATCAAAGAAAGTATAAATTCAAATGGCTCATACTAATAAAACTGAAGTTTAAAACACATTAATTAAAGTGAAAAAATGAATTTCAATTGAAATTATAAATTACAAAAAATGTAAAAAAAATTGTAAATAAAGAAATTAAAAAATTCGAAAGTAAAAGTAAAAAAGATTTAAAATAGTGTATTACGTGGGAAATTGTAGAAAACCAATTTTGTATTTTAGATGAGCTCATGTACTTCTTAATTTGTATAAAAAATATAAACTGTTAAAAATATAAAAATTTATTTTTTTATAAAATAAAGAAATAAAATATATAAATTTTTCAAAAAATGTTAAAAAAAGAAAAAAAAAATCAAAAAACAAAAAGATGAAAATTAAATTCAAAAACAAGAATCACTAAAATTATAAAAAGTGTAAATAATTGGAAATATTAAAGAGTATGAAAATAATTAAAACCATTTAAAAGAGTAAAAAATAGAATAAAACTTAGATAAATAAAAAAGCAAATAAATATATAGAAGTCTAAAACTCGAAAAACAATTATAAAAAAATTAACTGTAAAGTATTTCTTGTTAATTTACTTAAATCCAAAGTTATCATTATAAAATATATGTTGGTTTTTTGTTCCAAAGCAACACAAATGAATAGAAGCCTATATAATCAACAATAATAAAACTGAGCAATAACCAAATAAATAAATAATAAGCAATGAAGAGAAACGAAGAGAAAGACCATACAACAAAAAGCTACAAAATAAAAAGCAACATCCATCAACAAAGAGCAAGAAAAAACATATACTTCGTAAAAGAATCACAATATATATAGGAGGGTTCAAATACAAAGAAGTCTTCGCATGCAAAGTGAGAATTAATCTCGTGCATTCATTTCCAGATCTAATGGCTCAAAATGAGACAAAAGTGAACTAAATTTGATCAAAAACGCGGTGGCAATTTCGTAATAAAAAACGCGGTGGCAATTTCACAATTTCGTAACTAAAAGTGAACTAAATTTGATCTAATGGCAATTTCGTACTAGTGGGAACCTTTATATATGAGACAGAGGGAGTACTTTGTATATAGTGGGAATAGCAAATCATTTTGACTACTTAATTGCACAAATGTCACGATGACATTGGAGATGATGTTGATGACACCAAATTTCAATTCGAAGAAAACGACAAACATAACAATTGATTTAGCAATTTTGTAATGGAGTTGTTTGGCCCATCAAGACACGCACTTAAAAGTCATTTACCATTCATACGACCATATATATATTATTTCCATTCTTAAATAATTGTAACATTAGAAAATTTACACTATTCACGTGTTCTACTATTATTATGTTTTACATAGTATTTGATTAATGTATTAATAATTTATTTTTTAAAAAATACTTTGTATAATTAAATTGCCCTCATTCTAAATTTTCAAAAGGTGATTTTTGTAGTTTAATTAGTTTATTTAGATAAAGTAAGAAATTGTAATGTTTTTTATAACATGATCATTGATCAATTTAATAAGGATGTATTTACTTGGACTGTAATTCCTCCCATACCAGACCAGACCAGACCAGGCCAGTTTAGACCAGACCAGACTTGGATAGTTATAAAAATACAAAGAAACCAGACCAGATCAGACCAGTTCAGATTAGACCGGCAAATTACAGTCCAAGTAAAAGCATCCTAACACTTCAAGTATGGAATAAGTTTGTAACAAACAAATCAATCAATCTCTTTTTATCTCATTAATGTATATTGAGTATTCTCGTGCAACGCACGGGTTCATCGTCTAGTATATATATATATATATATATATATATATATATATATATATATATATATATATATATATATATATATATATATATATATATATATATATATATATATATATATAGGAAGGTTCAAATACAAAGAAGTCTTCGCATGCAAAGTGAGAATTAATCTCGTGCATTCATTTCCAGATCTAATGGCTCAAAATGAGCCAAAAGTGAACTAAATTTGATAAAAAACGCGGTGGCAATTTCGTAATTAAAACGAAATTTTTTGCCACCGCGAAAAAGTGCAACAGAATTACGCAAAAGTGCAACGCGGTGATGAAAAAGTGCAACTGTTCGCACTTTGCACGGGAGAACCTCTTTTTATTTGATCTCTTCCCTATATATATATAATTCGATCTATATTTTCATATCCACTATCAGAGTTACCCTTAGATTATCTCCAATGTCATAATGTGCATGATACATATGTAGCATGAGAGAGATACATTAATATTAATGAACAATATCTCCCTCTCCTTATTTAAAATGTCTTATATGTTTTTGCTAAGTTTTTATCCATAATGTCAAAACAGATGTTAGATGTAGACACTGTGGTTGACAATTTTGTGAAAAAGTTACCAAAATTATATAAAACTGTGGAAAGAAAGAAAATTGTGAATGACATGTTTTCTGTGTTTATCTCTCTCATGTCTCATGTGCATCGTACACATGTTTCATCGAAGATACTCTTATAATATACGTTTACATTAATAAATAATGTAAAATTAATTTGGTTTTATTTATTAACGTATTAATATTAAAAAAAAATACTTCTAAAATTTGTCTCATCATAAATTTTCAATTTTTTTTCTTTCTAATAAAAAATTAAATATATTTATGATCAAAGTTGTGTATTCACAAATGTGAAAAGTGGAATGGTATCCTCTTCGAGGAGAGGCACTCATGACAATTTGAATGCTGTTTATAGTCAAATAAGTCCAGAATACAAATTGTTCAACTCGTCGATATGTCCGAGTGGTTAAGGAGACAGACTTGAAATCTGTTGGGCTACGCCCGCGCAGGTTCGATCCCTGCTGTCGACGATTAGGTTTTGTTTTGTTGACTGGGACCTTTTTCTTGTTTTATTTTGCACTAATATATTAAGAGTTTTTTATAAAAATATTACTAAAATAAAACATATTTATATAAATATGACTATTCATTACTACTACAATGTAGTGTTGTTGTAATTTAAACTCAAAACTTAAACATGAATTACTATGATTTCATTACTACTCTAGTCATTACTCATATTTTTGCAAATAATCTTTATTTTGGTCTAATTATTTCATATATTAATTGTCCTTGTAATGTTTAATTCTCCAAAAGAACCAACAATGAGTAAAGACACTTTCCCATTCAGGATTTAAAGGTTCAATGTTCTTATTATATTTTTAATTTCTACTACTATGTAATGCTCCAAGAAGAATTAAAATTAAACAAACGTCTTTAATAATAGCAATTTTATTAATAACTTGAGGAACGTTATTTTATAAAGTAACCATCCTTACCTATAATTACGTTATTATTAGTTGGTAAAATATACTTTCATTTTGTTTATTTGGTTATCTACAAAATACTTACCTTTTCTTAAGTTAGAGAATCCATTAATTTTTTAATTTTTCCTTATCTTTATACGTAGTACTTCTTTGGGTGCTGTAACTTTTTTTTGGAAAGAAGTGACTTATATTAAAATAACAGAACTTGAACAAGATACAAAATGTCAAAAACTCAAAAAGTCTTCTGTAGCAATAAGATTCGATGATCCTCTAATAGGTTTAACTGAGTCAGACAAACCACACTTCTCATCACTTGTCTTAAATTCTAGAGTTTATCTTCTAGGGAATAAAAACACAACCAAAACAACATGCAGTTCAAGAGGGGGGCAAGCTAGTGATACTGTAGCTTCTTCCTCGCTCTGCCTCTTATTCATCATGTTATCTGTCAAGCCTTCACTTTCCGCACCAAATACAGATGACCTTGAATTCAAATCTGTTCC